CTGGGAGGAAGAGGAAGTGAGCTCAGACTCGATAGCTCTCCTCTCTGGGGCAGACGTGATGAAGCTCCAACCCAGGATGGACATAGGCTAGAATCTTCCTGGTAAGAGCACCTCATGGTGCTACACACATTAATAGAAATGGGCCAAGCAGTGTTTATATGAATACAGTTTGTGTGTCATTATTTTGGGGCATAAGCTAGCCAAGGTGGGTGGCAGGGATGCAGCCCGAAGCTCCTTCTACACCCTTGTTCCTTCAAGACACACAATTCCAACCTCTACATCATCATACAGTCTTTTCCCTTCTGTGTCTCCTTGCCTTCTCCTGTGGACTTTAATGATGACACCAATTTCATCCAGATAATTCAGAACAAAACCCTTAAGCTATCTACACATGGACTTCACTATTTTGCCATGTAAACTGTCAGTTACCAGGGAACAGAGCACAGGCATATTGAGAATGAACATTATTCAGCATCCCATAATAAATAAATGGAAATATTAAGATTCAGAAAGTGTAGTGACCAAGGCCAGCTCACATTCTTAGCTCGTAACAGGTAGACAGAGGATGGGTCTTAGGGCCCCGAGCTTTCTGGCCACCATACAGCAAATCTCCTGAGAGTTAAGCTATTTATGTATTCCAAGGTAACAATCAACAAATCTTATGAGCATTAACATGGCTAAAAATGGTGAACAGGGTTCTTTTTGATTTGTTTACTTTATTTATTCAATCATTTAGAGAATTTCATAGCATAACCCCATGCCCAAGGCTCAGGCTATAACATGGAAGGGGGAATGAAGACTTTAAGAGGCAGAGGAGCAGGAGGACTGCTACAATATGGTGTCATTTTGGACATAATGAGGATATTTCACCCATGACCTCGCAATAATATGATTGCCTGACTAAGAGATGCAAAATATCACACCAGCCAAAACACTTTTTCCTTTTACATATAACATCTGTTTATTTTAGCATGGTTTTTCAACATTACTCTAATGGAGAGAATTTCAGAGCAAATCAAAATGTAAGTGTCAGCTTGTACCTGTGGCAACATCTGTATTCCTACTTACTCAGAAGATTGAGGCAGAAAGAGCATTTGAACCGACTTTAAAATCACTCTGGGTAACATCATGAGATCCCGTCTCAAGAAAAACAAGTGTGGATAGGAATGCCATAGAGAGAGTGGTTGTGGGCCAAACTAGAGTTCTCAAGGTGATCCAAAAGGATAGAAATGGATCCTATTAACAGAAATAGAAGGTCTTATTAAGAATTCTGCAAAGTATACAGGTAAAATACGGGTGTATAAATACCGAATTTAAGTGAATTCATTAAAATTACATAATTTCTTCTACTGGTATTTGTTAAATATCTGAGGAAATCATATATCAGCAGGAAGAAATTAGCGTATAAATGAATGGCTACAAAATATACTGTTATCCAATGAATCAACTTGCTATAATTAAGTTAGTGTGAAAACAGATGAATTTCTCTTAAGGGTGTTTAATGGAAGATCTTTTGAAGGCTGGAACTAGACTGAATGGACACATTATTTCTAAATAATTTCCATCATATGTAAGCATATATTTCTTACTTATAATACCTTAAATTCTATGCTTCCTGGCCTGGCTAAAAATGACTATAACGTTTCCGAACACATGGGCAGAATCTTGAAAATCTTCCTTGTCCATTTATCCTGGTTACAACATAGAAACCATAAGTTCTATTTACAATAAAGAGCCATGGCAAAGAAGCACTCAATCTTTTGGTCATGGTTAAATTCACACTAAATATAAAATTATTGATTATTGCCCAGACATAAGCTACAAAGAATAGCCTTAAAGATCAATGAATTTAAATGGTATCAACTACAGTGAACATCAAATCAGTCAATAAATTTATTACAATGCATCCCTAAATGGGAATTATCATCAGATTCAATACTTTATCTCCATAGGCAAATGTATCTGTATAAATATGCTGCATTCCTCTCTACAGAAATCCAGTTTATGTACCCAATTGATGACAAAAAATCTACAATGGAAATAAAAAATAATTCTTTGGAGAAATGATGGGGTCTCCAAAGAACAGAGGGAAAACAAATTTGATATCTTTGCACATAAGTTCAATTCCCACGCATGAGAATCTTGTTACTCGCCCAAGTTAATCAGCTACTACTTCTAGTCACTGGAGACACCAGGCTTTCTCTTGAGGACTTTGTGGTTGATCCTTGTTTCAAATCCAAGGAATATTCCCTTCAGTTAATTCAATCTCAACCTCCTATGGTCTCTGCAGCTTCCAGCATCTTTTTTAAAACAAACTTCCTTTCTCCTGCTGTGTAGGGAATGACCCCATCTTCTCTAAGGCTTCATTTTAAGTAAAAATGGGAGAAAGAAAACAATAGTTCATAGATTCATAGATTCATTGTGTGAATCAAAGATGTAATTTACACAAAGGACTTGACTGACTGATGGCCACAGAATAAGCAATTATAAAAATAAGAATGAAACCATTCCGGACATGGTGGCATACTCCTTTAACCTCAGCACCCAGGAGGCAAAGGCAGAAGAACCCCTGTGAGTTCGAGGCCAATCTGGTCTACAGAGTGAGTTCCAGGACAGCCAGGGGTGTTACACAGATAAACCTTGTCTTGAAAAACCAAAAAGCAAAACCAAAAAGAACCGAGGCAATAATAATGATCACTGGGAGTTTTGTTAACATATTGCTTCCCTCAACAGATGAGAACCACACAGATGCTGTGTTTCCATCAACTAGACACAATCAAACCTTTCTAATTCCAGCAATCTCTGCAAAGTCCTTTACTTGACAACCCTTTTCGCTCCATCTGCCCTAAACAAACTTTATAAAAGAGTGCCACTAATCTTTGTAGAGGATGAAATTAATATATGTAAAGTCCGTATTTATGCTGACACAAAAACCATGGGGATTTATAAATGAAAGACTACAAATTGTGATCCATCTGAGAATTTTCTAACACAGACTGTCCTCTGGCCCGTGGTAGTGTTGAAATTCTTCACTGCGAACAGTAGGAATAAAGTTAAGTGCCCAAAAGCAAGACAGGAGCCAGAAGTCGATTTCAATTGCTGCCTCGCATGAGCATGGATTGATCTTTTAGCCCAAACTTCCTCTTATAACAGAGGCTGAATGGAAGAGTCGGGAGAAGCTCTATAATTTGCTGCAAATCATAGAAAATGTTTGTAGCAGCTATTGAATTAGCACCCAGCCTTCCTGCCCCCCCCCAGGCTCTTTCTCCTTCACTGTGCAGCCCACCTGCTGTCCTTTGACTTAAGAAGACTCCACTCTGTTCATGACTGCAAATGCCTTGGTACATCTCCCCTAATTATTTTGATTAGGTGTTCACATTTAGCGTCTTTAAAAAAGCCAGAACCTCCTCCAAAAGGATACATTTGACTGGAGGCCTTATCTGTATTGGGATTCTAGCCTGGCCTGCTCTAAATCATGCTGCCTGCTGCCTCTACTATTTCTTCCTCTCTATGCTTCATCTAGACTTTTTCACCCACACAATATTTCATGCACAGTAATAACATGCTTTTCTCTCAGATACACACAATATAAGATGTGGCACTCAGTGAAGAAGGAAGACTAACTAACGTTAAAAGAATAACTACAAAGTCACGTCTCCATATTACAAATGAAATTTCATGTCTCCTCAGAAAAAAACCAAGCAAGGCTGACCCAGTCCACAGAAACATTCTTATCTGGGCAAACAGAGGGGCTAGAGAGATGAAACTCAGGAGTTTATTGCCCAGAACACACAGGAAAATTCCATAAGTCAATGATTGGTAGGGAATGACACAACTTGTTTTTTGAGCCTAAGGAACTGACACACTCTGACCTGGTGACCTTTGGACTAGTCTTTCCCCAGGTTCAGCTTCTACCAAATTTCTTCCATAGTCAACTTTCCTCACTGGATATCATTAGCAAAATACCTGAAAAACAGCAGGCAAATACTCTAGTTTAATTAACAAAGACTTCCTCCTGCTAATTAAAATCTGTTGCTTAAGCCCATTGATCACATGGGAATAAGGCATATAGTATCCACGTATCCCTAATTTAAAATAAAAAGAGAAATATCTTTGGCATCACTACCTTTAGTACTTGGTGGTTAGCAATACTAAGATTGAATGTTTCCTTTGTTGTCTTATTAATTTTCTCTGTTCCCATTTTTTAGTATGTACAATGGTGGCTTCACAACCTCCCTAATTCTGCGACCCTTTAATACAGTTCCTCATGCTTTGCTGACCCCACAGTCACACACTCATTTCCATTTTGATTTCCTAACTGCAGTTTCTCTACTGGTCTGATCATCATGTAAAGACCTGTGCTTTCTGATGGTCTTAGGCGACCCCTGTGAAAGGGATGTTCTCTCCCCCAAAGGGTTTGCGACACCCAGGTTGAGAAGCACTGCTCTAGGCCTTCCTTGAAGTCTTTGGAAATGTGGCTCTTTTATTAGGCAATCTACCTGGTTCATTTGGCTGCAGTTTCCAAGTCCCCTTTGGTGGGCTGGCTTCAGTTCTAACTTTCATACAAGTTCACAAACCTTTGCATTGCTCTTGAGATCTCTCCAACATGCGCCATCCAGTCATAAGCTTGGTCTTTGCATCTGGACCTAGCTGGTAGTTGAGTTCTTGAAGGTTTTGGCATGAGTCACTAGAAGCAGGGAGATTACAACCAAATCCATGCTCGGCCATGAACTTAAAAGTTACCACAGGTGTGGGGATGGGTGTGCGGCCCACAGGTTAAGAACCACCTTGCCTATTCTAACCATTGCATGTGTTTGGAGCTGCCAGAGTTTTAGCATTCTTTCCATCCAATCAGTACACACACAGACACATACACACACATACACGCACACACACAGAGAATGGGGGGAGGGAGGAAGGGAATACAGGCAGGAATAGTAGTAGCTAAGAGCACTTGACAGCAGCCACGCTTAGGTTCAATTCTTGGAAGTATCACTTACTTCCCAACTCTGCCGCCTTCAGCAAATCACTTCAGCTCCATGTATCCAAGATTCACTGTCTGTAAAATAAAAATAACAAGAAAGATTTACCAGTGATATCAGGAAGAATATATTTTATCTCATATCCCTGGTTCCTAGCTCAGAGTTCCTAAAGCTCTTAGTATTTCTTCAGTGGTAGGGGTGACTACTAGCTATAACAAGTCTCTTTTGATCCAACCTGAGTGTATGCTATTGAGCTAAAGATGCTAGAGGCCCTAGCTAACTTCCAGATGCTAGCTGATCATGTGAAGTACTCAGTGTGATTGTAGAATTGAGGTTTTCACTCCCACCCACAGATCTCTAGAGAAGAGATAAATGCTAGAAAATAAGTTATATAAAAATTCTGGCAAACAGAGACTTGGGGAGAGTCCAGGTTAGTGGATAAACATGTTGCCTAGAAGAAAATATATGTAATCTCTGTATCTATCTCCTGTGTCTTAGCCTGTGTGTTTCCTCCACTGGCTACAACTTTCTTGTGTAATATAACAATGCATAATCAAAAGAATAATGCATTCATGATGTCTGTGAACTTATCAAACTATCAAATCTGAGGAGAGTGATGGAAATTTCTATATTGATAATAAGCTGGCCATAAATTATGTCACCCAAGGAACCTATTTGAGGTTGAAAAAACCCTATACCCTGTGAAGTCAGGCTAACTCCAAGTAAATAGTATTAGAGTTGTGCTAAATTACGGGACACTTGCTACACAAAAATGAAGACATGAGTATAAATCAACAGCTCCCACATAAAAAACTGGGTGTGGTAGTGTCTTTGTAATCCCAGCCTTGGGGAAGCAGTACAAAAGAAGCCCTGGGTCTCCCTGGCCATTCTAGCCAATAAAGTAAGATCCAGATTCACTAAAAAACCTTGTCTTATAAAGGTGAAAAGTGAGAAAGATGCCTGCTATAGATGTCTGCTTTCCATCCACATGTACACACGTGGACAAGTCTACCCATCTGCCACATACTCACGGATATATCTGCACAAATACACAAACACATGACCAGAAAATACAGTACACAAAATGAAAGCAACAGATTCTCTCATTGATATGCTAGAAAGACTAAACAAAATGTGTGATATGTATACATGATACTAGTATTTGCAGGACTGGATGTGTTCGTCAGTTTTCCATCACTGTGATACATATCTGATAAAAATTAAGCTAAAAGGGCAGAGTTTATTTTGATTCACAATTTCAGACAGCTTTGTTCAAGATTAGCTGGATTCATAACTTTTAGTCGAGCGTAAAGTAGAATACTATGCCAAAGAAGGCATGAAACCGTATAGCTGCTCACCTCATGGCAGACTGGAGGTAGCTTAGCGCAAAGTGTGTCTTTCTATAGACTGGCCCCAGTGATCTACTTTCCCCAACTAGGAAGTAGTTAATGTTGAATTGGTGGGTCTTCAATTTTCCCATGCTCTCAATAATGCCAACAAATTTTTAAATACATTTATCACACCAGATGGCTCAGGAATCAATCACTTCCCAAAAGCCCATCAGCTAACAACCAAAGGCTTAACATATGAAACTTTGGGGGCCATTTCAGACTGAAGCTACACCGCCGAGTTTCTTCTCTAATTCTCCAATCTTAGCCGTTATCTTCTGCTTGGGTTCCCAATTAGCTTGGCTATGACCATTTAAGTCCCCATCTGTGATGGTTAATCTTGACTGTTGACTTGATGAGATTTAGAATCGTCACGAAAACATACCCCAAGGACATGTTCATGAAAGTATTTCCAGGAAGGTTTAACCAAACAAGGAAAAGCTACCCTCAATAGAGGCAGTCCAACCCCCTGAATTTGGGTCCCGGGCTGAATATAAAGGAAGAAGCCAGGTGAGCCTTTTATCTCTCCACTTTCCGACTCTGTTCACAAGATGACCAGTTGCTTTAGGCTATCGTTGTCTTCACTGTCCCACCACAATTCACCATCCCCTCCAACTGTAAGGTCAAATAAATCCTTTTCCTCCCTCAAGTGACTTTAGTTGGGTAGCTGATCACAGTAACTACTAGACCATCTCGCCCTACTCATTTGTTTGTGTTTCTTGAACTAAGTCATTCCTTTGTCCCTAGCTTCTAGAAGAAATCCTGCTAAAACATGACAGACATCCATATTCACCCAGCTATACCAAAGAATATTATTGTCCTGTGTCTCACTCAGTTTCTTCTGCACTCTGAGACCCACTCTAACAAAGGAAATCCTCTAAACAAGATCCCTACTGCATTCTAAGTGAAATGTACCACATGTCTTTGGATGCTAGGATTTGGATAGCAGGTCACCCTTCTTGAGTAAAAACCTTAACCCTGGGTATAGACCAGTCCTGACCCCCTCTCTTTGCCTCCTGTGTCCCTGCATGCCTGGCTGCTTATGACATAGAAGTTTGACTTAAAAGGTAGAACATGATATAAAAGTCACGGTGGTCTTTTGGTTTTCAGAGTAACCTATGCTTTGAGGGGTCTTAACAGTAAATACAGAAAGAATTTAAGACTGTACTACTTTTCTTGGGCTAACAATTTTTTCTATATGATTCACATATTACCAGAAATTTATGACCTCTTTTTGGGAATTGACACAGAAACGCTATCAAAAAAAATTAAATACCACAGTTTTAGCTAACACCCTTAGGGAAGAAGTGCATAGAAAGGACCATTGACCATTAAAATTCCCTTGCAACAAGAATCTAGTTGTCTGAGACCACCATGGCAGGAGGCAGAATGAATGGTACCTCTCTGCTGACTTTTNAAAAAAAAAAAAAAAAAAAAAAAAAAAAAAGATCCTAATCCAATTACCTTCAGCTCCCAAAGTCAAAATAAGACTTTCCTGGACAAAGATAGAACTGAATTCATTTGGACAAGTGGACTCTCTGTTAGATCCCAAACCAAACATTAAGCCATGATTTAAATGTACCACCATTCTTCATTTAACAGACGGTTCTAAGTGTACTGCATGTGAAGTGAAAAGGCTTTTCTTCCCTGGATTTTTCAACTGGCCCCTATAGTAAGCATCCCAGAGGAGTTTGCTGCCTAAAATAATCTCTGTGAGTTGTTTTGAAGACTACATAACCAACTAATTTTTTCACAAATCTGAATAACCGTATGTCCCTTTAAGAGAAAATGTGTAGTATAGATTACTGATTCCCAGCAATAATTAATTTTATAAATCCTACCAGAATCCAGCAATTTCTATATCATACTTACAATCAGCACACTATCATAAAAAAATCTCAAAAGATCTTGGCACTCAGGATCCCTCTCTATCCCATATTTAAAATGAACCTCCATCCCAGGACCAAAATCATGAAAAATGACCCAGCTGACTATGAAGATATTTTATTCCTACTTTCAAATGCACAGGTTCAATATCATATACCTGAAAAGGGTGTGTGTTCTAATCCAGTCTGTAAAATTCTGAACACACATGGAAAAGGTGTGATTCAAGATGGCATGTGAGCAGGAAACCATACACAAAAAAAATCTTGAACCTGAATCCTAATTGCACCCAGGAAGTGTCCTGCAGCCAAGAAAGAGGGGGCAGCAATCTGATTTACAGTTACTGAGGTGGGGGACCATGGGAAGGCACAAAATAAAGGGAGAGAGATTTCACCCTTTCTAGGCAGACAGCATCTTGTCCCATCTGCTTCCCTAGGCTTTTCTACAAGTTCTATATTTATACTCTTGACACTTCAGGAGCCATAGGCGTCCAAAAGCCCACAGTTCTTAACAACTATTCTGCCTCTTCCAGCCCAAGGCTCAAACACACCCTTCGGATTTCCTCATCTTTCTTGACAAACACAGGATTCAATTTACGAGACCATTTTGCCTACTTCAACTAGGAATTCATTTTGGATATTTGCATATGTGTTTGCCCCTTATTTATGGATAATTCATTCCTTCCATCAAAGATTTAACTTTCACTTAAAGCTACAAAGCGACAGAAGGAACATAAAACCACAAGCTAGCATTTGTGGGGAAACAAAATTCGATAATGCTGGTGTGAGGGAGGGGAGGGAGGGGGGAGGAGAACAAAGTAAAAGAGCTCAGTTACACGCCTTTCAATGGAGCATCGGACTGGAGCTGGAGATAAAATGGAAAGGGCCATGGGCAGTAAACAGTTAATGTATGACTTCAACTCTCCCTCTCAAATATCAACTGTCTCACTCAGGACTTTGTTGGGAGAACAGGGGTATACTTTGAGTGGGCTATAATTGGGGAGGGAGATTTTACCTTAGGCAGTGTATAATTAAGTGCCAAACTGAGTGGCAGTCTGTGCTCTGGAGATCAGAGGCAGAGAGGATCAGTGGGAGCTGAGCAACTGTGAAAGGTTTCCTGGAGCAAGCCAGGAAAGAGGCTGGCACTCTCAAGGACCTGTTTCCAACGACTCTTCATCAATCATCATGCCCACCCTTCCTGAAGCATGGCAAAAGTTCGTGTGTGTATGGGGGGGACCTGCTTCCCATTTATCCAAGGAATACATGAATATTTTCTCTCATAAAAACACACTGCAGCAAATTAAACACAATATAATCTGCATGCATGAAAAGTGCAAATGCTTGACATTTGGAGTCCACAGAAACACTGTTCTGTTATGCAATTTTGGGGACTGTAATTATATAACAGTCACAAGATGGAAGCCACCTTCCCTGAAATGCTGAAGCCCAGCATGTCTAGAGTTTGCTTAGAGCTACCGACTCTTGGAAGAAGGGCTATTCAGGAGTTCTGATGTATGAGTGCGATCAAAGGTAGGACCCTGCATGATGTATGTATCTGACCAATACCCTAGTTTTCACTCTAGCTGCTCTTGTTTCCCCCACAAATACTCATATTTATACTCACGTCGAACACAGCCCTCTAATGGATATTCCCAGAGGAACACTGCCAATATTAAGAGGCAAACTTTCACAGCATTTACTGTGTACTGTAAGCACTAGTGTGAAGTTAATAAATATATCAATCATTTAATCTTCATATGAAGTGACGGCTACTATGATTACCCATTTCAAAAGGATGAAACTGAG